CTTTAATTAATAAGGCCAAGTAAGGCATGCCACTCGTTTTCTATGTTTATGGTAAATTTATTCTTTAGTCAAGTATCTTTACCAAGTTCGTAATTTTAGGAATCAAAATTTGTATTTTTGTGGGAAGTAAAGGGAAGAAATACAAGGATCTTGATGATTCATTGAACCTAGTTTAGGAGAAATTTTAGAATAGTTTAGTTCACATTGACAAAAAGAAGAACTTTTGTTCAGATTCATAGTACTACATTGAATTATTTACTATGAATCTATATGGTTATTTCAAATTCATTGTATTTACTAGTGTTAAGTTTTTCTATTGAATGTATGGTTAAAATGTAAAGCTATTCTCTTAAAACCCCTTTATCTAAATAGTCTTTAGTTTGCAGATATGGACTTAGTCAAATTGGGTATAGCATATGTGTTTCCCACTGTGCATTAGCGTTCGAAGTCCTCTCCCAGTAGTTTAGATTAGATTAAATTAGAATATCGTTTGTATAAACTAAATAAAAATATATTTAGTTTGTATTATTATTTTTCCTCAATTTTATAAATGTTTTGGACAATGCCATATGTGTTGTATTCAATTGAGTTTACTATCAGATTCATTGTCGAGTTAGAATGAGATCCAATACATTCAAGTTTGGAGTAACTTGGGCTGTTCTATCTTTGTGTCCTTCTTTTCCTTTTTGGCTATTTTGTTTTTCATATGATATTCTTTTCAAGTTCGTTAATTTGCTTGAGCATATCCAAGAAATCAAAGTAGATAGATATGTATGGTGGAAGAAAATTAATCGAGAAAGGTAAAAAAAAATGGTTTGAACAGAAAAACAAACCATGTAAGGTGAAAAAAAAAACACATTATGTGTGCTCTTTACTGCCCTGCCCGGAAGATCCGTGATCAAATCATCTTGGGGTGCGGTTACCCCATGCAACTGGCACACCAAATCTCTAATTGACACTTGTCCTTAATTTTGTCGTGCGTGTCTGTCTCCTCTCTCTCCAATGCTGCTTATATAAGTGCCTCTTTCCCCCTCTCCCCCCAGTGGCTCAAAATTAGCAAAGCATACAAGTCCTCTCTGGTTTTACTACAAAAAGCCACTGACCATTTAACATTCTCACTAAGAGAGAGGAAGAGAGAGAGAGAGAGAGAGAGAGAGAGAGAGAGAGAGAGAGAGAGAGAGAGAGAGATGGATGCAATTTTCACATACGTTTTCATCTTCCTCCTAACCCTTCTCTCATTTTTAATTTTCATGAAAAGGGACAAGAGAGAGGAGCCCCAGAAAAGGGCTAAGCTCCCTCCAGGGTCATTGGGTTGGCCTTATGTAGGAGAAACTCTTCAGCTCTATTCTCAGGACCCAAACACTTTCTTTTCGACCAAACAAAAAAGGTTAGGTCTCGCTTTCTCTCATGTTCATATGTTTTTATTTTTATTTTTATGATTACATTGAAAGGAATCGAACCTTGAACGTTTTTATTTTATTTACTCTCAGGTACGGGGAAATTTTCAAGACGCATATCCTCGGGTGTCCATGTGTCATGCTGGCAAGCCCCGAGGCCGCCAAGTTTGTATTGGTGACTGAGGCTCACTTGTTCAAACCCACATACCCCAAAAGCAAAGAACTTTTGATTGGTCCTTCAGCACTGTTTTTTCACCAAGGAGACTACCATATTAGGCTGAGGAAATTAGTCCAAGGATCTCTCTCCCTTGACATTATCCGAAATTTGGTGCCTCATATTGAGGCCATAGCTGTGTCTGGCTCAGACTCCTGGGGCGCTGGCCAAGTCATCAACACCTTCCATGAAATGAAGAAGGTGAGCTTATTCCTTATTATTAATGCAAACACAAAATTATATTTGGATCATCAATTCATAAAGCTTAGGTATCTAAAAAGTTTTGTTCATATTTCTTTATTTATTTGTATGATAAAGTTTCTTATCTTTGCCTATGCTTTTTATGTTGACCGACTTGTTTTATATTTCTTGAGTGATTCTAGTATTCTTTCCAAGTGGGCATACTTGCAACTTTTGGCCATTTGGAGGCACATTACAAACAAGAACTCAGCAACAACTACACCATCGTGGACAAAGGCTACAATTCCTTTCCCACAAACATTCCGGGAACATCATACAAAAAGGCTTTGTTGGTAGGGATTTTTTGTTTTTATTATAAATATTTTATTATTTAATGTGTTTGATACACTAATTAATTGTTCATATAATAGGCAAGGAAGAGGCTAAGAGAGATTCTTGGCGACATTATCAGTGAGAGGAAGGAGAAGAGGCTACTTGAAAAAGATCTATTGGGTTGCTTGTTAAACTCTAAAGATAAAAAAGGTGAAGTCTTAACTGATGACCAAATTGCAGACAACATTTTGGGCGTGCTTTTTGCTGCTCAAGACACCACAGCTAGCGTTATGACATGGATTCTCAAGTACCTCCACGATGAGCCCAAACTTCTAGAGGCGGTAAAGGTATATATTACAATGCTAAAATCAGTCACTTACGCATGAATGATTCATCACCATTAATAAATGTAGTAGGACCACGCTCCACTAATGGTCAGGAATCAAGCACACACGTTTGGACAAAGTGAAATCCTTATATATATATATATGTATATGACAAGTTATATACAGCTATAGCCATACCATCATGATTTACTCTTAGCTCTAGAACAACTCACTTTCACTTCATATCTTGTCTTTATCTTTGAAAATAAATTGCAACATGTATATTAATTATGAACTTGCCTAATTTGCAGGCCGAACATAATGCAATTCGTGAATCAAATGAAGAAGGCAACCAACCATTGAGCTGGGCACAGACTAGAAACATGCCAATAAGTTCCAAGGTATGGAATATACATGCACTGTCTCACGGGACAATGTATATTTTGCCAGCAATTCATGGAATGATAGAGTAATAACTTTGTTGCTAACTATAGGGAATTGCGTATCTTCTTTCTCAGGTTGTGTTGGAGAGTTTGAGAATGGCGAGCATTATATCTTTTGCCTTTAGAGAGGCAGTGGTTGATGTGGAATATAAAGGTAATTATAGGACTACATAATATTTTTTTATAAAAAAATTTCCACACAATATATCATGCGATCATCGTTTTCCCTACTTTATGAGTGACACATATATACAATAGACTTCGTGTCACTACGATGTAATCATAGGTTACCATTGCTCATTTAAGTGTAAACGCTTCTATATCTAAAGAAACATGTCTCAATAAAACAAATAGAAGACAGTGAAATGTTATTGACCTCAAAAAAAGTGGTCACACTGACTAATGCAAACATAATACTATCTAGCTAAATAACAAGATTATCTATCTAGCTTTATGAAACTAAGGTTATCTTGATTAATGACAACCCCAATACTAATGATCACCACAAACCCTAGTTTCAAGTAAGCATATGTGAATGAATTTGTCCAGCTAGAAAATGATGTGTATGTATTGTTGGTAAATGATTGACTTTGGAATGTGTGACAGGGTACTTGATTCCAAAAGGTTGGAAGGTGATGCCTTTGTTCAGGAACATTCATCACAATCCTGATTTTTTTGCCGACCCTCACAAATTCGATCCTTCTAGATTGGATGTATGGACGGTGACTACTGTTTCTATTTCCATTATATTCTCCCTCTCATTCTACACCTTTTAATTGAAATTATATCAAAATTTATTTTCGAGTTATATTCCCCAGGTTGCACCAAAGCCGAATACATTTATGCCATTTGGCAGTGGAGTGCATGCCTGTCCAGGAAATGAGCTTGCCAAGCTAGAATTGCTGATTATGATGCACCATTTGGTTACCAAGTTCAGGTATAATAGAAATTCATGTTCAATTTCAGACTTTCAGTACCCTCCTAATCGGTTAATAAGTTGATAAGACGCTAACCACTTGTTTTTTATCGGTTAATAAGTTGATACGACACTAAACACTCCTTTTTTTTTTCTTTTTTTTTTTTTTTTGCAGATGGGAAGTAGTAGGATCCCAAAATGAGATTCAATATAGCCCATTCCCAGTGCCTATCCATGGACTCCCAGCCAAATTTTGGAAAAAATCTACCTGCTAGCTGAGCTGTCATACTCTCCCCAAAATTAACTTTTTCTCATATTCTATGTTTTGGGCTAAGGCACTTTTTTTCTTTTGGTTTTCCTCACTCTAATATTGTTATCAATTTTTGTCATTCAACAAATGTACTCTATGGTTGCGTTTGTTACACCGGATTTGCAAGCATTCCAGGATAGGACTAATTTGGGCCAGTCCCGGTTGTATCAAACACGATTCTATTTAAGAACCAGACTATGGAGGACTGGATTAGAGCCTTTTTAAGTTTCGTTATTTTGTCCGGTGCCAAGGCATGGGCTTAAATAAGCCCCGCCTCTGTTCTTGTTCTTTCTTATGACTGCTGTTATGTGTTCTGGTCTATGGCTGCTCTGCTCACACATGTTACTATACATTACTTCTTTATATAATAACACTATAATTTTATAGTATCGTATTTCTTGGGAACTTTGATCTTAAATACGAAACTCAACATTCTCTTTACTTTAAATACCACCAAAGTTTTTAGATTAGTGACCAATTGAAAATTCAAATGAGAAACTAATATGAATGTTATTAAAATCCAATATGTTTACATCATTTATCACCATACAAATTACAATGACAAAAATCTATGCCCAAAAAAAAAAAAAAAAATCAATTTCACGTTTTTCCTTTCGGAAAGGAAAGATTAGGAGAATCCTATTGATTGTAGCTTTCTCCGAACCTCCGAGAAAAGTATGAAAAAAGTTTTGAATGGTACGATCCCTACATCACCTCTCTCTCGGTAATCTATTATTAATAACTTCTTCCCAATTCTTTTTGCCGTAAGGGAAATACACAACTTGTCTCAAGCTTTAATGGGATCTTTTATTTCGGTCCGAGGAGAAATTACCAAACGTCTAGCGTTCCCTCACACTTGCCGCCAATAAGATTTTGACATCATTTATATACGCTATATATTAGATAAAGTAATGAAATCTCATCCAACATATTACAATCCACACATTAGTCCATAGCACTTATCTTATAACCTATATATATGTTGAGGGACTGGATTGCTATAACTAATGTAGCTCAAGCATCATCTTCTTCAGATGCCGGCGATGTGTATTTACTAATGGCTGCATTAATCCTCTCTTTGTCTCTGGTTGGGAACGCCTCCAAGAGAATCCCATCTTTGTAAAAATGGAAGAGGGGCACCGTCTGCATCATTTCATCCCATCCTAATCAATTTAGAAATGGCACACAAAGACAACCTTGTAGAGTTGATCAAAGAAAGTTACCTTAATTCTAAGTCGCTCTGCAACCTCGGATTGTTCATCGTACTCATCAATTACCTGCAACAAATAGTAGTAGGGCTTTTAGGATTATGTCTTGAGTTGGTAAATGAAAAACTCAGAGCACAATACTCACATTATGCTTTAAGAAGATCACTCCGGCTTCTCCATTGCCAGCTCCCTTGCACAACTTTGAAAACCCCTGCTCTATGTACTTGCAGCTTCCACATGATGTGCGATAAAAATCTACAACGACTAAAGAACCGGTTTTTTTGGCCGTTTCGAGAATTCTGAACAATTCCTCGTCAGTCTTAAATTCTCTAACGCATTCAACTGGACACAGATCATCATCTTCATCAGTCATTTCTGCTTGGTTTACGCTTCTTTCGAATGCGTGGCAACGTGGAATTTTGGCCCTAATAAGACATGATCTAACATGTGTTCTCCCAGGAATTGAGGTGGGAAATTCAGAGGGACTCGTTGAACCAAGTTTTGTGTATAGTTTTGTTTCAAAATTGAATGATGCTCTGGCCTTGCCATATAGAATAGTATGACTTTGCATCGGAACGAAACACAAGCTTAATCTAATTTGCAGGATGAGCTATTGATCTTCAGTACATTCTTAAATTTCTATTGTCTTCCACTGGTTGAGTGTGAAAACATCAGGGCCTTTTCTTCAGAAAATTACATTCAACCTGTGACATTTACATACAGAAATGGTGGAAAACTGATATGAAAAGAGAAAAAAGAATGGAAAAAAAAAAACCATGAAACAAATAGCTCCAAAATTCTGATCTATCTCAAGGATATGGTTCTGCAATCTTGAATTGAAAAAAAAATTGCATATAAACTGAAATCAAAGAGATGAATGAGTTGAGTTGAGAGGCTTGCCTCTGGCAGTTGATGAGAAGTGAGGCTCCAATTGCCATATCTGAATTCCGAATTATGCTACGAATGAGAAGAAGACACGACATCATTAACCATATCAGCTCATGTTTTGGGCTTTCAATCATGGCCCTGAAGCCCAGTATGGGCGTTTTCGTATTTTACATGGGCTTAATGGGCTCCTTCGTAATTTTCATGGGCTGAGAGTGAATCCAAACTCTACCCAGAACCAGAAAGAGCGTGTAGGATTATATTTTCGTACGCCCGACCGATTTCCAACTAGCGGAAATATAATCCAATTTATGACGTCATCAAGACCAATTACAACAAACAATGTTATGGGAATGCGTGCCTTGTCCGTCATCTGATCTCTGCCAAATTGCCAATGCCAATGCCAATGCCATGCTAGCGACTGTGAGGCCCGGTTTGTTCGCGCGTGATCTGAATCTGATGATAATTAAATTCTCAAACCAAACCAACCAAACCAACAAACCAGACCAAATTATTTAATATCTCTCTGGAATTGAATGATAAAAACGACGTAGTTGCGAGGGCACAAGGTAATCGGATAGAGAGATAGAGAAGCTATGGGGAGCAGCAATCAGCTGAAGTCGGAGAGTTTGCTGGAGCTGATGAAAGAGCACCTGACCACTGATGCCGGCAAACAAATCACAAAGAAGATCGGCCTCGTCTATCAGATCAACATCGCCCCCAAGGTAGGCCCCACCAATCTTCCCTCCCCTCCCTTCCCCAAAATGCCTAAAACTCCATTTCACTGCTTATTTCTCACAATTTCTGAATTGAACCGCAGAAAATTGGGTTTGATGAGGTGATTTTCACCGTTGATCTCAAAAAGGGGGAGGTCAAGAAAGGTTAGGGTTTCTGATTTTGATTAGCTCGGTTTAACTTGAGCTTAATTACTGAAACTATATATCTTGAATTTCAGGGCCATATGAAGGAGGGAAGCCAGATGCAACTTTTTCCTTCAAGGATGACGATTTTGTGAAGGTTGCGCTGGGCAAGATGAACCCACAAGTTGCTTTCATGAGGGGTGCCATGAAGATCAAGGGCAGTCTGAGTGCAGCCACGAAATTTACTCCTGACATATTCCCCAAGCCTGCCAAGATGTGAGGCTTCCGAGGCAGAGGCCGCAAGAGATAAAGTTTGCATTTTTAGGCGTAGCCTTGTTTGCTTTGGTTGCCTCAAATGAATTTCTGAAATACTAGGGAACTTGAACTGGAATTTTAGCTTTCCGTTGAGAGAAACTAGAAATCAATTAAAGCTTGTACCCTTTTGATATATGTATGATCATTTCGTACTTAATGCAATAAGCTGCCAATAACAAGCTTCAATCAAAGATTCTGAGGATCTTTCTGTTATGTTATCCATTTTCGTGTGCTCTGTATATTGGTCATTTGCGTTGCTTATTGCCATGGCTTGGGATTTTTCTAGGCTGCCAAAAAGGGTATGATATTACACAACCCCACCCAGTACCTACACGCACCCATTATGACCAAGAGATGCCTGGTAGTGCCTTTGCACATTGAATTTCATCATCCCCTCTCCAGTCTATCCCTTTCTTCCCCATCATAAAATATAAAAAAAAACCCTTCACCCTCTGTCCCGTCAACCTCCAGCCACCGCCTCCGCACCTCACCTCAAGATCTCCTCGGCTCAACGCCAGAAAACAGATATGCACTTTTTTTTTCTTGATTTACCAAATGCCTTTTCATTCAGAATTTTGAAAAGAAAGTGCTTCTTTTAAAATCACCGCAACCCCAAACTGAGCCTTAATGTGCGGAGTGACGACGGTTAGTTCTTGTCCGATGTCCTAAATGCATTGACTCCAATTCAGTTGCTTGTCACTTTTCATAAACTTTGCCTAACATTTAGAAAGCTGATTGCACTTGGAGGAGTGTATACTTTGTTTGCCCAACACCTACAGCATGACGCGTTGAATTTTTTGCTTCAGTGTATATCTTGTTCCGTCGTCTTTCTAGGACTTGTCCATCAGCATTCGTCTCCCTTGACTCTTCTCTGCTATCTCCTCCATGGTATCTCGTGGTTCAATCTCAGCCAGTCATTTTAGACTGTGTTGCATTTCTAGAACCATGAAGCATCCAAATTGTGTGCCATTTGGTAAATTCAACTCAACCAGATATGAATATAAGATGCCGTCCAACCCATCCCATTGCACATACAACTTCAAAAGGCAATATGAATTTTCTCCTTTCATTCTGCTTTTGCCTCTGCGTTTCTCGTTTGCCATCCTTCGCAACTCCAGCTGTGTTATTTCAGGTAATTAAGCCATGCTCTCTCTCTCTCTCTCTCTCTCCTATATTTCATATGCCCACGTGTTTATATGCGTACATGATTATACATGGTTCTAAGTGTTGATTCAAGAACTTGATGATATCATATGACTATGGTAGGGGTTCAATTGGGATTCAAGTAAAAAAGGAGGATGGTACAATTCCCTCAAGACCACCATTCCCGAACTCGCTAGCTCTGGAATTACCCATGTCTGGCTTCCTCCTCCTTCTCACTCTAATGCAACTGAGGGTACTTGCTTCTACTAATCTATTTACTTAATTAACGGAAAATGCCACAGATTCCAACTTTTGTGCGAAATTAATGTGACACTATACGATCAGGATACGACCCGGGAAGGCTATACGATCTCGATGCATCAAGCTATGGAAATAAGGACGAATTGAAGTCCCTGATTGCTACAATGCATGAGAAGGGAATCAAAGCCATCGCTGACATTGTGTTAAACCACAGATCAGCTGTCAAACAAGACGAGAATGGAATATGGAGCATCTTTGAAGGTGGAACGGAAGACGGACGTCTTGACTTCAATGCCTCATTGATCTGCAGAGATGACAATGACCATCCTTTTGGAACTGGAAATCCAGACACAGGGGACAACTTTCCTTACACTGCTGATGTGGACCACACCAATCCAAGGCTACAAACCGAGCTCTCTGATTGGTTGAATTGGTTGAAAACTGATATAGGGTTTGATGGATGGAGGTTGGATTATGTGATTGGATATGGCTCCAGCTTCACCAAGCTCTACATGGAAAAGACTTCACCAGAATTTGCAGTTGCTGAGTATTGGCGTTGGAACATATCAAAAGGGCAGGATGGCAAACTTGACAAGAACCAAGATGCACATAGGAATGAAATAGTGAATTGGATCGAGGCTGCTGGTGGCGTTGTCACGGCGTTCGATTTGACAACCAAGTACATCTTGAATGTTGCTGTGGAGGGTGAGCTATGGAGGCTCAAGGATTCTAATGGAAAACCACCAGGGTTGATTGGGATCAAACCAGAAAGTGCTGTAACATTTATTGACAATCATGACACTTGGTCTCAGGGACTTTTGCCTTTCCCAGATGACAAAGTCCTGCTTGGATATGCTTACATTTTCACCCATCCTGGGACCCCAAGCATAGTAAGTAATACATATCAGTCATATCATCTTACTGAATAGGGAAATGTTGTCTCGTCAGATCGTCTAACAACACACGTAGGTTATATATGTTGTCAGATTATGAATTTAGATAACAGGTTTCATAAATGCATGTATATCTTGAATCTGGTTGATATTTCATTTATAAACCATTTGTTTGGATGCAGTTCTATGATCACTTCTTTGACTGGGGGTGGCCAAAGGAGCCTATACGCAATTTGACTGCAATTAGGGCAAGGAATGGAATAAATTCCGGGAGCAGTGTGACTATTTTAGCTGCAGAGGCTGATCTATATATGGCCAACATTGATGACAAGATTATCATGAAGATAGGGCCAAGATCGGACCTTGGAGACCTTGATCCCACAAAGTCAAACTTCCATGTTGCCACCAGTGGACAAGACTTCGCTGTTTGGGAGAAAAATTGAACTAGAAAGAAGAAAGCTTGTTTCGCTTATGCATTAGAATAAGCCCTATTCAGGATATTGTAACTTAAATAAACAATTAACGGGGTCTAGTCCATTGTAAAAGGGGTTTGATTTGCAGATCAGTGGTCTCAAGTTTAAACCCTAATGACACCTTGATAGTGAGTACAAGAAACCCACTTAAATAAACAAATTTGTATTAATAAACCAATCTAAATTTAAAGGGATTTACAATTGAATTATCGAATTCAAGTGAGAATCAAATTATCTAAAACTTCTTTATATCCTACCAAAAAATAACTAAGTTTTATATTCGTGGTCAGAAAAATATGTTACATATAATTGTGTTTATTTTTATAAAATTGTGCTTTTTTCTTATTTGGGGCTTTGATTGAATACAAGTCAAGAAGGTTGACCAACTTATTAGCAAAATTATAAAAGAAGCTGTGCACGCTAACTGTAAAGTCTGGCGCCAAACAGCAGAATATGAACTTGGCCTCTTCTGTTGGTCTCTCTACGAAGCCTAGCCTTCCCCGTTTGCACTCTCTGTTAAACTCCTACATTGAAAGCAGAAATCGAAAGCAAGCACTGCTTCTCTTTCGCCAGTTGTTGGAGTACAATGTGAAGCCCAATGACCTCACTTTCTCTTTGCTCCTGAAAGCCTGTACTTCGTCGTCTTCTTCTTCCTCCTCCTCAGCTTTAAATTCCGTGAATGTTAACAGAGAAGCAAATCAGATTCATACCCATTTGCTAAAATCGGGTGTTGACCGATTCATGTATGTGAGTACTGCTCTTCTTGATCTCTACATGAAACTGGGATGTGTTAGAAATGCTCATAGGCTGTTTGATGATATGCCTGACAGAGACGTTGTCTCTTGGAATGCGTTGATTTGTGGGTTTTCGCGAAATGGGTGTGATTTTGAAGCGTTGAAACTCTTTGTTCAAATGTGTAAAGAGGGATTTTTTCCTCATCAGACGACTTTGGTTAGTTTGGTTCCATCTTGCGGTAGGCAAGAGTTAGTTTCTCAAGGGAAATCTATTCATGGGTTTGGAATTAAGGCGGGCCTTGATTCTGATTCTCATGTGAAGAATTCTCTTACCTCAATGTATGCTAAATGTGCAGATTTGGAGGCTGCAGAGCACTTGTTTGAGGAGATAGTTGAGAAGAGTGTAGTTTCTTGGAATACTATGATTGGTGCTTATGGACAAAATGGCTTCTTTGATGAGGCAATGCTTGCCTTTAAACGAATGCAAGAGGAAAGTGTTCCAGCCAATCTGGTGACCATGGTAAGCCTTCTGTCAGCAAATGCCGATCCAGAGTCTACCCATTGTCATGCCACTAAAACTGGTCTTGTCAATGATGCTTCTGTTATTACTTCATTAATTTGCCAATATGCAACACACGGGAACACAGAATCTGGCGAACTTCTTTACAAGTCCTTGCCTCAGAAGAACTTGGTTTCCCTAACTGCACTTATGTCAAGCTATACTGAGAAAGGTAACCTGTTTCAGGTGATGTCGTGTTTTGCTCACTTGCAGCGGTTAGAAATGAAGCTTGACGCAGTTGCTATGGTTTGCATCCTCCATGGGATGAAAGATCCCATGGACTTTGGTCTTGGACTTGCTTTTCATGCTTATGGGCTAAAGAGTGGGTTGAGTGCTGATTCTTTGGTTGCAAATGGGTTGATAAGCCTGTACTCGAGGTTTGACAAGATAGAAACTGCTTTCTCTTTACTTTCTGAGATACATGGGAAAACATTGATTAGTTGGAATTCTTTGATATCGGGCTGTGTACAAGCTGGAAGGCCAAGTGATGCGCTAGAGGTTTTTTTCCAAATGAAAATGTCTGGACACAGTCCAGATGCCATTACCATCTCTAGCTTACTATCTGGTTGTTGCCAGCTTGGGTACTTGCAATTTGGGGGGAGGCTTCATAACTATGTCCTAAGAAACAATCTCGAAGTGGAAGATTTTGTTGGAACTGCTCTTATAGACATGTACATCAAGTGTGGAAGAATAGAGCATGCTGAAAGGGTGTTTAAGAGCATCAAAGAACCGTGCTTGGCAACATGGAACTCAATGATCTCGGGTTATAGCTTATATGGGTTAGAACATGAAGCTCTTGCTTGCTTCTCAGAAATGCAAAAGCAGGGGATAAAGCCTGATAAAATAACTTTTTTGGGAGTTTTAGCTGCTTGTACTCATGGAGGTCTTGTTCAGGAGGGAAGAAAACATTTCCAAATCATGAGGGAACAGTTCAACGTGGTGCCAGATTTGCAACACTATGCTTGCATGGTTGGTCTCTTTGGTCGTGCAGGCTTGTTCGAGGAGGCATTAATGTTCATCAGAAATATGGAAATGGAGCCCGATTTCGCAGTTTGGGCAACCTTGCTGAGTGCGTGTTGCATCCATCAAGAGGTGAAGCTTGGGGAATATGTTGCCAAAAAGTTGTTTTTCTTGGACAGTAACAATGGTGGGTTCTTTGTGTTGATGTCAAATCTTTATGCGGTTAAAGGAATGTGGGATGAAGTAGCTAGGGTGAGGGAGATGATGAGAGAAACTGGAGGGGATGGCTGTTCAGGAATTAGTGTTATTGAGATGACTTCATTGGAAGACATGAATGTAAACTTAAGCTCGAGCAAGTCTAGTTTGAATGCAAATGCTTGGCAACCTCTACTCTCTCTATATTAATCGCTAGTCGTTTCCATATTTTCAAAATGAAAATTACTCCGATGTAAATACTGTGGACTTCATTAAAAGTAACATTTATTCTATAGCCGTAATATTATAATTTGTGTGAATATTAACACTACATCAACATCTCACTTTATGTTACAATTATAACATAATAATTTTTCTTGAATAAGACTTAGAAAATATAGATTTCATATCGATTCATCTCAATCTTCATTCAAAACGGCCCTCCAGGATAGATTGTCTCTTCGAGAGGACTTCAATTAATTAACTAGACCACAGATGGTTCAATAGTCGTTAAACCTTCCTTTGGATCTCATTAATTTATTTGAAAATGCATCTGGACATATTACTTATAATTAAAATGGAATGCGTGACATGAAAAAATTGGTTTTATATTCTAATTTTAAAAAATAATTCTTTATTCTAAATTAAACAAAAGATACTATAATCCAATTGGGCCGAGCTTAATATGAACGTGTGGATAAAGCCCAAATAGACCAAGATCCGACCCATTTAGAAATAATCCGTTCTGCCCAACCGCCCTTTCAAACCTTTCACTTTCAGAAACCCTAAAAACCGCAAAGCGCTCCCATTTCAAATTTCAAATTTGAAATTCAAAATACCATCTCTGTTGACTGTTGAGAGTTGAGACGCTAAAAAACTTTCCGCCTTTGCATACATGTTCCAGTTCTTACCTTTCACAAAAGGCAAAGCTACGACAATGGGTGGGGCTCCCAGCCGCGAAGATCCTCAGCTTTCAGATTCTGACGAAGAGCAGAGTGAAGAGGAAGAGATCTACGAGGACGTAGAAGAAAGTGTCGAGGAAAAGCGTCGGAGATCGGCGGAGCGTGGGCCCAAAACCCCGTCGTCGGTGGACGAAGTAGACGCCATGCTCAAAGCTTTGAAGCTCAAGTACAACCCAAATGTCAAAAATCCGGTCAAGCTCTACCATTTTGTCGCTGGAGACACCCCTCAAGCCAAAGGAAAATGGGTAACCTCCGAAAAGCTCACCTCTTACTCTTTTAGAAAGACCTCTCGAATGGAAATTGATAATGACGAAGATGGCGAGGAAGAAGACAAATCTGATGAGGAAGGCGGGGATTCCTGGTGGATTTTGAGTGTTGGTGACCCTGACAAGATTCGGGCTAAAGTTAAGGTCTCGGACGAAATGCAGTTGAATGGCGATCAACGTCGTGTTGATTTTATTGCCTGCGCACCAACGCGAGGTGTGTGGGCAATGAAGTTTTATGCTGATGAGGACTATAGGGCGTTTGTTGCAAAGTACAAAGATTGTTTGTTCGAGAACACGTATAGGTATGAGGCCACAGATGAGAACAGGGTTAAGGTTTATGGGAAAGATTTTATTGGGTGGGCAAAGCCGGAAGTGGCTGATGATTCGGTGTGGGAAGATGCAGAGGATAGTTTATCGAAGAGCCCAGGCTCCGCAACACCATTGAGAGCAAATGAAGACTTGAGAGAGGAGTTTGAGGAGGCTTCCAATGGTGGTATACAGAGCTTGGCATTGGGTGCATTGGACAATAGTTTCTTGGTGGGGGAGTCTGGCATTCAGGTTGTTAAGAATTTTAGTCATGGAATTCAGGGGAAAGGTGTTTATGTCAATTTTGATGATGGTGGTTATAGAGGTGGTTCAAGTTTGGCACGGTCGACACCTAGGAAGGCTCTGCTAATGAAGGCCGAGACCAACATGCTCCTTATGAGTCCTATGAATGAAGGGAAGCCTCATACAACAGGTCTCCATCAGTTTGATATTGAAACTGGGAAGGTTGTTACAGAGTGGAAGTTTGGGAAAGATGGGACTGATGTTACAATGAGGGATATAACAAATGACAGTAAGGGAGCACAGTTGGACCCTTCGGGATCAACATTTTTGGGATTGGATGATAACAGGCTTTGCCGGTGGGATATGCGTGATAGGAAAGGGATGGTTCAGGACCTTGCAGCTGCTAGTGGCCCTGTTCTCAATTGGAACCAAGGGCATCAGTTCTCCAGAGGGACTAACTTTCAGTGCTTTGCTAGCACTGGTGATGGCTCAATTGCTGTTGGGTCCCTTGATGGGAAGATCCGGTTGTATTCGAGCAGTTCGATGAGGCAGGCGAAAACAGCTTTTCCAGGCCTTGGTTCGCCTATTACTCATGTGGATGTTACCTTTGATGGGAAGTGGATTTTGGGAACAACTGACACCTATTTGATCCTCATCTGCACCATCTTTACTGATAAGGATGGGAAGACAAAGACTGGTTTTGGTGGGCGTATGGGGAATAGAATTTCAGCTCCAAGACTGTTAAAGCTGAGTGCAGTGGATTCACATTTAGCTGGTGTTAATAATAAGTTTCGTAATGCTCAGTTTTCGTGGGTAAGTATACATTTTCAGTCTATTAGAAATACTATCTGTTTTTGTGTGGGAGTTTGTATGTATTTGTTGGTTCTTTTCTTGGTGGTGCTGAAAGTTTTTGAATCTATCTACTTTAATCTGCATGATTTAGTGGACTGGGTTTGCTCAATACGAATAGCAATAATAGAAAGTACATGTGATCTACGAGTTAGGGTGCCAAGGTATTCTGACTGTGGTACTGATTATTCTGCTCCCTTTTTTTTTTCCTTTCTTTTTCATGAGTTAGTACGTACATGGACAGTCCGCTTGAGATGTGAATCTTGGCATCATTTTTTATTTAGTATATGATTTATTGTTTAATTACTTAAGAGGGAGGCTGGGATTGGTTTTACTTAGCAGGTTTCTCCAGGTAGTCCTCTGATGGATTTGAACTAATTTTTCTGGCCCTTTTTGCCTTTTATTGCCCTAGTAGTTTGTAGATCAAGAACTCTGATTGCTCTTCTGTTGATTTAACTAAATCTCAATCAGGATCTTTTCCATAGTAATGGGATGGATATAACTTCTAATAATGCCCAATTTTATTTGCTTCTAATGACTTTTGGAAGATTTGAGAACAAGTGTGTCCAAGAGCGTTGTCTTGCATGACTTTTTGAAGGATTTCTGTACTTTGATGATGTTAGGACTGATTTTGGTTGATTGGAACATTGTCCTTGCATAGCATGTCATTCCTTTATTAAGATAATGAGTTGTGGGTGGGTGGGGGTTCACCAAATGAAGTTGAGCGTAGGTCTGTTTATTTATGTATTTTCATTTAATAATACGCGCAATACATCTTTTTGTGAACTCAGCTTGCCTTTTCTTGTAGTTTGGTGATGATCTTGTTTAACATTATTGTTTAGGTCACTGAGAATGGGAAGCAGGAGCGTCATTTAGTTGCAACTGTGGGCAAGTTTAGTGTGATTTGGAACTTTCAACAGGTGAAGGATGGTTCACATGAGTGCTACCGCCACCAGGAGGGCTTGAAGAGCTGCTATTGCTACAAGATAGTCCTTAAGGATGATTCCATTGTTGACAGTCGCTTCATGCATGACAAATTTGCAGTTACCGACTCACCTGAGGCGCCACTTGTGATTGCAACCCCGATGAAAGTTAGCTCCTTCAGCATATCCAGTAGGCGATTATTTTCAGAGACATGAATGACCCTTCATCTGCTTTCAGCTTTCTTTGCTGCATTGATGAAGTTTCAAATACTTTGTTTAGAACTTCCAAATTGTATTTTATGTTCTTCGATTAGGGTATGCTTCTGTAATGAATTATGTCTAATTGTACTCACTTTTCGAACAATGTGTAATCATGACTTGTGATATTCAGTATCTAATGGAATATGTTGTTGATCTAACGATTTGCAAGTGGTTCCTTGTTCTTTAGATGTAATTCTTAATGAAGCATGATTTGCCCTGTTTCAATACATAGAGAAACCAAAACCCCCTCAAACTAATTGACTGTGAAAATCAAATCCGCCTCAAACCCTCCCTGGTAATTTAAAGTCTATTACAGTACAGCCTCTAATTGCTAGGTGCAGGAACCCAGCATTTTCCCTTTCTCAGGGGTGTTTTTGTAATCAATCCTTAATTGCTAAATGTTATGTTTGTGTGGACCCTCTTTTTATTTTTTATTTTTACGTAGTTATATATACATGAAAATTTGTGGACCTGGTGTTCCAGTAAAGTAGCTGGAGATAAAAAGATAGAAGCAGAGAAATGGCAGCTGCAGTGGGGGGGAGAGGTTTCCTTGTGCAGCCATGCTCTTTATCCTTTGTTTCTAATAAGAACGTACCGAAGCACTCATTTGGTGCAGCAAACACTTGCTGGCATGTCAAACCAGCAAAACCTCAAGGTTTCGCCCGACACGTGGCGCATGCCCAGCTGCGCCCTACATGGCTCCCTGGGCTCGACCCCCCACCCTACCTTGATGGAAGGTAAGTCCCTCAAGAAGCTGTTCATGTTGGTTTCATTTTTTATTGCTTTTTTCCCCCTTGTTTAGCTTCACCCTCTGTCTCTCTCTGGAGGGGAATTTCGTCTTTTCAATTAGCTTGGCTGGGGATTTTGGGTTTGACCCGCTTGGGCTTGGGGAGGACCCGGAAAGCTTGAGGTGGTATGTGCAGGCAGAGCTGGTTCATGCTCGCTTTGCAATGCTTGGAGTTGCAGGAATTCTTCTAACAGATGTCAGTAGTTTCAAACCTCTTGTCTTTCAATAGCTTCATTCTTTTTGGCTTTGAAATCAATAGAAACGTCCACATAAATTTCAATTATTTGACGTTAATGTCTACCACATATTGTAGATAAAAAGTTTGAGGCCAATGTGTAGGACATATATATGGAGTTGAAACATAGCAATCATTGTGGATAAAATAGAAAAACAACTCTCTTTTTTCTAAACTCTAGATCAATTTGTCATGTTTTTGCAATGTTGATGATCATTTTAATACTTTGCTGCAGTTACTGCGTGTAACAGGGCTTCTCAGTATACCAGTTTGGTACAAAGCAGGTGCAGTAAAATTTGGCTTTGCCAATACAGAGACTCTGTTCCTTGTCCAACTAATCTTGATGGGGTAAATTCTCTACCCAGTTTTAACCATTGCCTT